TTTTTTCTTTGGCAAATGGAGTTGTCAAAGTCGCACCTTGTTCCCTCTCTTTTATTCTTTCCATTTTTCTGTAAACTTGCTTTTGTACATCTAAAGATTTCAAAGTTAGCATCTTTTTTACTCTAATCAACGAACCATACACGCGCATGATTCAAATCGATGACTGATTAAAAGGATCGACTGATCCGAAGGCTCGTCCGGGCCACCGTCCGAGAAAGATTGATTAAAAGATATACAATTTGAGGTGTCTTTTGGGTAGAGTCGGTCCTAAACATTATGATGACTCAACACAACAACAACAACATTCTCAGTGTATTCCCAACTGGTTAGGGTATGGGAGGTCAGTTGTACGCAGACCTTATCCTTGTAATTATACAAGGAGGCTGTTTCCGTAACGACCCAAAGTGTATTGCGTCGTTTGATATTTTTTTTTTTTTAAGAAACTTCACTAATAGAAGAAGCACTAAAATTTGATTGAGTCATTTTAATTTAGTCCATTATTAACATTATGCCAGGAGAATTGTCAAATTTTTCCAGTTCCCTTTGCCATGGAAAGTAAACATTACAGCAAAAACAAAAATAATGCCTTGAGCACTCTCGTTCATTTTTTAAAGAATTCATTTGCAATTCACTATTTTTTTTAATTGATAATTGATTCGAAGTGTTGTTTTTTTTTTCTTTTATTAATTATTTTTATTAAAGGCACAATTAATCATATCATATAATAATTCTAGGTAGATTGGCTTTTAAGAATTTAAATGATGTAGGTTAATTAGAATCAATCCATTTATAAGTTATTATTTTTTACACATAAAAATTATATAAAAAGAGCAAAAATATGCAAACAAAAGAAATAGTTTACCCTTTTTTCAATTCATCAAAATTAATTATTTTTTAAAACAAATGTCAACATAAATTGAATTTTCAAAATAAAATTTCAGAAATCTCAAATCTTAGTGAAAGTATTAAACATGTCTTCATATTAAAACCCAATAATTTTACTAAATTTTTAGTAGTCATAAATTAGTCATAGTTGAACGGAGATGTGGGTAAAGAGTCCGTTTGTTGAAGAGGGAGAAGATGATAGTTGATATTCATAACTAAGGGAAATGCTATGATCACGTTACGGCACCATCCCGTCCAGTGTTTTAACCGTTGGATTATCTATCTTATACTAACGACATGTATATCCACGATTAAAACTCCCGACGGGATGGTACCGTAACGGGACCGTAGTATTTCCCCATAACTAATAGAAAGTAATATCAATAGCAACATATACACTTCTATAACAATATATTATGTGTATATATTTCCAAAATGCGAATGTTTTTACCAAGATAAAAGGTATATATATGTACACAATCTACTTTCATCACACAAACACAAACAAACACAAACACGAACAAAAACGAGCGAAATGCCTCACCTTCACGACGAAAAAAGGGAAAGGAGGAGGGCACACCCACAACACAACCTCACATCCAAAGCCCATATCAAACTAAGAAGAGAAGAAAAACCATATATAAGAATAATTCCTTTTTGGGTGAAAAAAAAAAAATCAAAGTATAAGAAATTTCGGCGAACTTTTTCGCAAGAATTCACTTTTAGTTAGTCGAAGCTAGGGGATCGGCTCCACCTGCCTTCAAGATAATCTTCTAAAGAAATCGTTTGATCGATGCTACTTGTCGAGGCAGAATCCCCATCCACGCCAAGCAATGCAAGATTCAAGTGGGATTGGAGATTAGATTTTGAAAATGTCTCGTCGTATATTTCGGTAGGTTCGACTGAATAATCGTCTAGCTTGAATCGAGACCCTTCACAAGCATTCACTTGCAATCTTGCCCAATTGACCACATCGACATCCCCTTGGAGAAGCCTTAGAATCTTGCAATAAATAACACTGAGTTTCTCATGAAATTTTTACTAATATTCATAACAGTGTGGTAAATTTTGATCTACCCCTTTAAGTTTAGCCTAATTACACAAGTCAAAAGTACTCAACATGTTTCAAGTAACAAATACTCTTAACATGTTTAGCCTAATTACTAATCAATCAGTAAATGCAAACATAATATTTTTACGACACATTTTTCTTTTTTTCCGAATAAACCGTGCTTAAGAAATAAAGATAAAAAAATTTACAGTGATCACTTACGAGGCTCATCTGGGGCCGAGTTCGTGGGGCACGCCTGATACAGAGTGACGCGGCTAAAACCATCCTCTCGACTTGTTCATGATCATAACTACTGCTCAAATCGAGATCCAGCAAAGCGGAAAATTTATCGGAATTCAAAAATGGTTTTGCCTGTAAATAAATCGACAACAAAAAAAGTATTATCTTTTTACGGTCTAGATTAAATAAGGCTGTGGAAAAATACAACTGACTGCAAAGAACATACCCACATAACAAGGCTCTCGTGGCCTTTCGGACAATTGTTGCTTATAGGCTTTCTACCTGACAAAAGTTCTAGAAGCACAACTCCATAAGCGTAGACATCGATTTTCTCGTTTACTTTTCCGTACATGAAATATTCAGGAGCCAAATACCTGTGCAGGACAAAATGCCCAGCTAAAGCTCATTACTAATAACAAAACCTCTAATTCTTGAAAGGAACAAAAAAAAAAATTGTAGTTTTGTGTAGTCTAGTGACCTATTTCTATTTGGCTCTATCTTAAACTTTTACACCAAAAAGAAAGATTTCAAACACAAATTGTACTGACCCGAAAGTTCCAGCAACATCTGTGCAAGTTATGTGAGTCGAAGTAGTCGATGCCCATTTAGCAAGGCCAAAATCAGAAAGCTGAAACACCGTCAACAAAAAGAAAAATACATTAAGTTAAAGAGTTTAACCGAGTAAGAATTAATGAAAATGCATGGTTGAACTGTAAAACAGAATCACCTGTGGCTCGAAATCATCAGACAAAAGTATGTTTGACGACTTAACGTCTCTATGGATCACAGGTTGGTCTTCTTTGCGGTTGTGAAGATATTCCAAAGCCTCAGCCACACCAATAGCAACTCTAAACCTCTCGTTCCACCCGAAAACCAGTGGTTCCTTTTTATGACCTAAATTTAAAAAAATTATACATTATATCTGCAAAAAATAAGGACAAAATGAACTTTTCATATTGAAATGTTCGGTACCGTGAAGATTGTCCTCAAGGCTTCCTCTTGATAGAAAATCATATACTAAGAGGAGATTCTTATCCTCATAACAGAATCCAAAAAGCGAGATGATGTTTTTGTGATGTAAGGCTGTAATGATCTCGATTTCTAAAAGGAACTCTTTTACAGCATCTTCTGAAGTCTTTAAGATTTTCACGGCAAGTTGTTTGCCGTCCGGAAGGTAACCTCTGTAAACCCGACTGCTGCCTCCTTTACCTATCATATTACCTGCATTTTTCACAAGCTTTTAGCTGCAAGTTAACTAAAAAAATGAATGAATTTAAATTTTAACAATCGGTGTCCTAAAAGCTACCTTATAACTCGTTCACCTACCAATCTCTTGTCAGTTTACGTTCAGTTTAAATTTCATTTTCTATAAAAAAACAAGAAACAAATTAATTTTCAAACAACCGCTAGCTTCTGATACTCAACAGCTATTACTTCCCATGCCATCTACCTATAAAACACTACCCCAAACTGCACAAAAATAAATAAATAAATGAAAACTGCAAGTAAGATGGAAAACCTGGAAAGAAATTGGATGTGGCCTTCACGAGCTCTTGAAAACTAAACAATCTACAAGTGGCCGAGTATTTCTCCACAAGACACTCAAGCACCTCCGGCAATCCTCCTGACATATTATCCGGTGAAATCGGGACCGAAAAACTCTCATTTCCAACTGGAACAATCGCACCATTTTCTCCATCTAAACTCGACGACTTTTCACGTTCACAATCCAAAATATCATTTTTCGAATTCTCGATTGCCAAACAGTACCTATTCGGCAGACTCAGGGCCCACTGGACCACCGACATCTGCCTCACTTCCGTATTATGGTAAAACAATTTGTTCGAAACGACTGCTCTACGGAGCAAGGGCCATCCGGGTTTCGTTTCTGGCAATTCTTGTAATAGGAGAGTAATAAAGCTTGATGAAGCTTCTTGCTTCTGTACCGGGACTATAGCCATAGAGTCGTCGATTGTTTTGTTTTGATCATCCGAGGTCTTATGATCTTTGTCCAATCGAGTAAATGAGTCATCATTGTTTGATCTGAATGAGTCTGGTGAACAAATCGAACAATTTCGCTCGGGAGGAGCAGTTGTGGCTAAGGTCTCATTCGAGTTCACATCCCAAGTCAACCTCGGACTTTTCGAATTCAAATTATCGAGAACTTTAATGTTCTTGCTGAAGGATCTTTGGATGGCTGTTAATAACCGATTCCTACGATGATGTTCGACTTCTGCTCAATATTTTTTAAAAAAATAAAAAGTAGAATATTAAAAGAAGCAATTTTTAGTCTAATTACAAAAAACTGGAAAAAAGTTGATCAATTTCTAATTATGAGTTAAGGAGAGCAATACACTACCTTTAATGCTGAAACGGGAGGAAGAACTTGATTCTCGGTGAAAGACGATTTTGCCATTGTTCACCGCTAATATCGAGCAATCCTTTGGCAGCTTTTTCGAGCAGTGTTTAGCAACAGAGGCCGACGTGCGAATCTTGTGGTGAGTATGAGCGGTCCCTACAATAACCTCAGATGCATTATAAGCTTTGGCTTCGCGAACAAGAATTTTCGGTACAGACGAGCCTCTGCATATCTTCAGTTTGAGATCCACCTGCAGCATTCATTAGCATCAAAATCTCATTTTTTTTTACTCTCAATATCATCAGTCATTACAATTTCATTATTTGTCAAACTCCTACATTAATGTTACAATGCAGGTTTACTTTTATGGCAATATAAAACATTCAGGGTGCTGTTAGTCCCGTCTAACGAGTTGACCCGTCTAACGGTTAGGCTAACTCACATGAGAATCTGTATGAGAGTTAAAGTTGTTAATAAAAACTTGCAGATGCTATAAATGAACAAAACAAAGTCTTGGGTAGTTACTGCCTGGATCCACCGACACCGTTTTGAACTCACATTCTGCTTACTTCACTACTAATAACAACTTTCATTTATGTCACACACACACACGCACATAATGTGACCATGCTGAAGTTTGAGATCAGATGTTGATAACTACTTAACAAGAATCACTACCTGTTTCAAATTACAGAAACCTTCATAGACTTCGAGGATCGAGTCGAACGCTTTGACCATGGCGAGAAGGGACGATTTTCCATCTCGGTTCACAATTTCTGCAAAACCCCATTTCATCAAATCAATTTAATCCATACAAATTTAAACTCATATTTCATAAAGGCTTAAACTTTAATAAAAGAACAGTTTTAATCTGTAAATAAATGAGGGAAAATAATAATCCTGCCTTTATTGAAAACTTTATCTTCCTTGAGTTCAGAACTCAATCAAGTTGTATATTCAACATTAAATTCTCCCAGAAAAAAAAAGGCAACAACATTTAATCATTCACAGAAGAAATAAATTAATTTTGCAAACAGAGAGCTGCTTAAATTAACACTAACATTTAGCCAAAAAAATGCATGGAACAGCTTATTATTAATCTAGAGAACTCAAGACTTTGTTGTTTTAAAATCTTTTAAATATAAAACGAAAAAAAAAGAGCAAAACAAACAGACACACACAAACACACACTCCAATTAATTTATGCTCACCATTGTTGTCAAGAACATGAAGGGCAACCACACGGTCACCAGCCTCAGCAACCTTCACCAGAGCCCACGTCAGCAGCTCCCTACTCCGGGCGTCCAGCTTCACCCCCACCACCACCGCCCGCCCGCCGGAGCCCTCTCCGCCGCCGGCGACCACCATCTGAGTCATTGTTCAAGATTCCTCCTTTTTCTTTCCCTATGTAACTTGTTTGCCTAAAATTTTGCCAACCCTTTTAAGTGAGAGCTCATAGAGAAAATGGGCTCCTATAAAAAGGGCAGCTTTTCAGCTATGGTTGTTATGAATATCTGCTAACTGAAATTTGGGTGTGTAATTTTTTATTTTTTTTTTGGCTTTTTGGGTTTGATTTTCAAGAAATTAGCGGCGGTCGGGTGTTGTCAAGGAAGTTATATGCCGGCATCTCTCTCACTCTGCCCACCAAGAATTAGAGAGAGAGAGAGAGAGAGAGAGAGAGAGAGAGAGAGAGAGAGGTGTTGGTGGGCTATCAATGGCGTCTTTAATTCAAGTGCGTGCAATGCTTTTGCTGCTCCTTTTTTTTTTCTTTTTCTTTTTCATGTTTTGGGACCTAAAAAAAAACTATAAAAAATTAGTTTAAACATATAATCATTGCACAAATATACTTTTTGGATATATATTTATGTAAATTTAAACTTATAGACCATATTTTAAAAAATAATATAATTAAATATTTTATAATATATGTATAGGTTTTGTTGAAAAAAAAAAGAATATGATCAATCAACCCGTATAATGATGTAGTTGACTCACACAAACAAATATGTATTTTATTTATTTTTCACATTAAATAGTCCATGTGAGAAAAATGAGTCCCAATACAAATGTATATGTATATAAATAAAGGGAAATGTTATGGTTTCGTCGAGTTAATAACTGTTAGATCAATTATTCTCTAATGATCCCCGAGAGTTACATTTCCTATAAATTTCAATAAACTACCTACAATAATTTCACCATTACACACTTTTACAAAACAAGCTCTTCTAATTAGACAAATCGTTACATTTAAGCCTCTATGACATATCAATTATTCTATGTGCGATGATTCAAATTTTAAACTTCAATTGTACCAAAAATAAATAAATAAATAAACTTTAAAAACAATATTTATTCAAGAAAAATCTAACACTTAATAAAAGACTTATCTGTGCTCAAAAGTGCTTGCTATGCCAACATACAGAGGAGGGGAATATAAATTTGAGATAAAGAATAAAATGAAAAGTTTTTTTTTTTTTCAAATTAAAGAATAAATGTACCAAAAAAGTTGAATAGAGGTAAATTATAATATTATTATATATGGATAAATGTAAAGTTAATAAGTGGGGTAAGTTTTAAGGATTTTGACCATATTATATTTTGTTCATGAATGTATGAATATAATTTGGTATTTTTTATTCCTTTATTTCATTTTTTTAGGCTATTGGATTATGATATTTTGCATGTGATTGATAACATATATAGGAAGATTAATATAATCATACTACATTGGTGAACTAATTATATGTGGCTCAACTAGTTTTTACATTGAAATTGATCTTAATTATATATTCATGGAGATTCCAATAATTATAAAATTGAAGTTTTAATGTAATTAATGTTTTACCTATATAAATCTAGGGAATGATATGGTCCCGGTAGAGAACCAGTCCGTCGGGGTTTGTAACCGTTAAATCATCATGTAACCGTCAGGATTAGTTAATCTAATGGTTACAAATCCTAATGAAATGGTTCCGTAACGGAACCGTCGCATCTCCCTCAAATGATACATCCAATTTTCCATACTTATGTATAACTTAAAATTATCTTGCGCATATGAAAAATGCATCTAGCAGTCTTGTTAAATAAACAACTTAATATTTGGAAAATTTTTAAAAACCATCATCTTAATTATTGGATTATCATCAATAGTTATATTAGAATTCATCTTATCAATTATAATCTTGTAAATATTTTAGACTAATCTAAGAATAGGTTTGGTCAAAAATATATTTTTTATCGGAAATTTAATGAGACACATACACATGTAACATGATTGATTTTTGTGCGACATTTAGAATTTTACTATTTGAAAAAAAAATATTTAAATAATTGAATTGTAACCAGAAATTAGTTTGATGAATAGATGCAACTATTGAAATTTTGCCTTTTATAGTTTTATTATATCTTGTGCAAGCAATTAGAAAAAAAAAAAATATATGTAAATTACTCACACGTTTTGTATGTTCAGTGATTTAATCAACTTTTTAATTTTGGAAGGGGGATGTCAACTAAATAACATAAGATAGTTGTGAAAGTAATTAGCA